AAGGTATCACACATATGTTCACCCAGAGCCTCCCTTTCACAAAATCTTATCTATTAGTGGTGATATTTTGTGTATTTCTATTGCCCCCTCACAGCATGGATAACAGTGCCCTCTTTACTCCTGGAAGCACAGTCATCAACATCTTTAAGACAAACCGGACTTAAAAACCAATTTACAAAACTCATCCATACAATTTTGTTTCTCTACAACCACTCTTGGTACCAAACGTCTTAGGCTGGGTTCTCTAGAGAAGTAAAATCAGTAAAGCATTTAAGTATATATATAGAGAGATTTATATCAAGGAAGAGACTCATGAGGTTGTAGAGGCAGGAATGTCCCAAGTCCATGGGTAAGGATATAGGCTTCTCCTGATACACATAGCTGCAGGGGCTGGTGAACTCAACATTGCCAGGTTAGAGAGCAGGGTTCTTGCTCACAGGCTGCGAAGATTGAAGATCAATGAATCCTAAGATCACCAGGCAAGACCTCAGGTAAGCTGCTAGCTAAGTCCCAAGAACAGGAGGTCAGATGAACAAGAGCCAGCTGCAGGATCCAGAATGAATCCATGAGCTTTGCCAGAATGTCCAGTTATATTCAGTGCAGGCCACGCACCCAAGGAAACTACCCTTCAATTGACTGGTTACTCACAGCAGATCCCATCATGGGGGTGATCACATTATATCAAATCTCATCATAGAAGTGATCACAACATCATATCACTGCCAAACCACTGAGAATCCTGGTCCAGCCAAGTTAAAACACAATCTTAACCATCATACATATCGATGTACTACTGCAAAAACTTTTGAATGATCTTCAGCAAAATTTTATTTACACTTGATATTAATGATATTGTTCGATAATTTCCATATTTTCTTCTTTGGAATAGGAATAAATGTGTATTTCTTGCAGTCAGTTGCCAGGTAGCTGTCTTCCAAATTTCTTGGCATAGACGAGTGAGCACTTACAGCATTGCATCCACTTGTTGAAACATGGTAATTGGTATTCTATCATTTCCTGAAGCTTTGTTTTTCTCCAATGTCTTCAGTGCAGCTTTGACTTCTTCCTTCTATACATCGGTTCTTGATCATATGCTACCTCTTGAAATGATTGAACGTTGACCAATTCTTTTTGGTAGAATGACTCTGTGTATTTCTTCCATCTTCTTTTGATGCTTCTTTTGTCATTCATTATTTGGCCAGTGTCTTTGTTAGGTGCCGTTGAGTTGGTTCTGACTCATAGTGACCCAATGTACAACAGAATGAAACACTGTCCGGTCCTGTGCCATCCTCACAATTGCTGTTATGCTTGAGCCCACAGCTGCAGCCACTGTGTCAATCCATCTTGTTGAGGGTCTTCCTCTTTTTCACTTATCCTCTACTCTACGAAGAATGATGTCCTTTTCGAGGACTGGTCCCTCCTGATAACATGTTCAAAGTATGTGAGATGAAGTTTTACCATCTTCGCTTCTAATAAGCATTCTGGCTGTACTTCTTCCAATACAGATTTGTTCATTCTTCTAGTAGTCCCTGGTATATTCGATATTCTTCTCCACACCATAATCCAAAGACATCCACTCTTCTTCCATCTTTGCCCGTAGATTCCTTCACTATTGCAACTCGAGGCTTGAATTTTTTCTTCAGTTCTTTCAGCTTGAGAAATGCCGAGTGTATTTTTCTTTTTTGGGTTTCTAACTCCAGGTCTTTGTACATTTGGTTATAGTACTTTACGTGGTCTTTTCCAGCCACCCTTGGAAATCTTCTGTCTGCTCTTTTATTTCATCATTTCTTCTGTTCACTTTAGTTAGTCGACATTCAAGAGCCAGTTTCAGAGTCTCTTCTGACATCCATTTTGATCTTTTGTCTCTTTCTTGTCTTTTTAATGATCTCTTGCTTTCTTCATGTATGATGTCCTTGATGTCATTCCATAGCTCGTCTGGCCTTTGGTCATTAGTGTTCAATGAGTCAAATTTATTCTTGAGATGATGGTCTCTAAATTCAGCTGGGATATACTTTGGCTCTGGTGGACTTGTTCTAATTTTCTTCAGCTTTGGCTTGAACTTGCATATGAGCAATTGATGGTCTGTTCTTCAGTTGGCCCCTGGCCTTCTTCTGACTTATGATATTGAACTTTTCCATTGTATCTTTCTACAGATGTAATCAATTTGTTTCCTGTGTAGTCCATCCAGCGAGGTCCACATGTATAGTCTCTGTTCATGTTGGTGAAAAAGGGTATTTGCGATGAAGAAGTCGTTGGTCTTCCAAAATTCTATCATGTGATCTCTGGCATCGTTTTTATCACCAAGGCCATATTTTCCAGCTACCAATCCTTCTTCTTTATTTCCAACTTTTGCATTCCAGTCACCGGTAATTATCAATGCATCTTTATTGCACGTTTGATCTAGTTCAGACTACAGGTAAAACTCTTTAATTTCTTCATCTTTGTCCTTAGAGTTTGGTGCATAAATTGAAATAATAGGCTTATTAACTGGTCTTCCTTGTAGGCGTATGGATATTATCATAACGCTGACAGCATTGTACTTCAGGATAGATTTTGAAATATTCTTTTTGATAATGAATGCAATGCCATTCCTCTTCAATTTATCATTCCTGGTAGGGTAGACCATAAGATTAGCTGATTGAAAGTGTCCAATACCAGTCCATTTCAGCTCACTAATGCCTAGGATATTGATATTTCTGCATTCTATTTCATTTTTGATGATTTCCAATTTTCCTAGATTCACACTTCGCAGATTCCATGTTCCTATTATTAGTTAGTATTTGTAGTTGTTTCTTGTCATTTAGAGTAGTGCCACATTAGCAAATGAAGGTTCCGAAAGTTTGACTCCTTTGAAGTTATTAATGTTGACTCTACTTTGAGGAGGCAACTCTTCCCTCTAGTATTTTGAGTGTCTTCCAACCTGAGAGCTCATCTTCCTGCACTATATCAATCTTCCTCTGCTATTCATTAGTTTTTCACTGGTTGATTTTTTTCAGAAGTAGACTTCCTGATCCTTCTTCCTAGTCTGTCTTTTTCTGGAAGCTCCACTGAAATCTGTCCACCATGGGTGACCCTGCTGGTATTTGAAAAACTTCCAGCATCACAGCAACATGCAAGCCACCACAGTGTGGAAACTGACAGAGACTCAGTCTATATATTCTCCTTTTACTCTTTTAGAGAAGTCTTTTGTTGTAAGTATTTAATTTTTAGGAGGTCTTAGTTATCTAGTTTATCTCCTGTTGTTTTTCTATTATTAGTTAGGTTTGATAGTCTATTTATGTCACAAATTAGGGTCCCTAGGTTTCCTCCCATTATTTCTTCCATGTTGTTTATAATTTTAAGTTTTACATTTAGATATTTCATTCTTCTTGAGTTAGTTTTTGTGTATGGTGTGAGGTATTGATTCTATTTCATTTTTCTACAAATGGATATCCAGTTTTGCTAGAACCATTTGTTAAAAAGACTATCTCTTCCCCATTTAATGCATTCCAACTTTTTGTTGAAGATTAACTGTCCACAGGTGGATGGGTTTACTTCTAAAATTTCCATTCTGTTCCAGTGGTCGATGCGTGTGCTGTTATACCAGTACCATGCTGTTTTGACTACTGTGGCTATATAGTAGGTTCTGAGATTGGGAAGTATGAGTCCTCCAACTTTGTTCTTCTTCAGTAATGCTTTACTTATCTGGTTCCTCTTTCCTTTCCATATAAAGCTGGTAATTAGTTTTTCCTTTTCCTTAAAGAATATTGTTGGAAACTGGGTTGGGATTGCATTATATCTATAGATTACTTTGGGTATTATTGACATTTTCACCATATTAAGTCTTCTCATTCATGAACGTGGTATATTTTTCCATTTATGTAGGTCTCTTTTGGTTTCTTGTGGTAGTGTTTTGTAGCTTTCTTTGTATAAGTCTTTTATGTTCCTGGTTAGGTTTATTTCTAAGTATTTTATCTTATGAGGTGATATTGTAAATGATACTGTTTTCTTAATTTCCTTTTCAGAATTTTATTTGTTAGTGTAGAGGAATCTGACTGATTTTTGCATGTTGATCTTATACGCTGACACTTTGCTGCATCCATCTACTATTTCCAGTAGTTTTCTTCTAGAATCTCTCGGATTTTCTACGTACTGGGAACCACTACTGACCCCACTGATTGGGATCACAATTGAGGGTTCTGGACAGACTGGGAGAAAAGTGTAGAGCAAAATTCAAATTCATAAAAGAAAAAAAAGTGCAGATTTATGGGTCTGATAGAGACAGGTGGAACTCCTGAGACTATGGCCCTTAGATACCCTTCAAACTTGGAACTGAAACCACTCCTGCAGATCACCTTTAATCCTAACAATAGGCAGACCTATAGAATGGCAATAACACTAGCGAGAAATGAGTTCCTCAAAACATTCAAATATAGGAGACTGAAAGATTAGCATTTACTCAAAAACAAAGTTCAGAAGGAAGGAAAAGGCAGGAAATCTGGGTGAATGGAAATGGGGAACCCAGGGTGAAATTGAGGAGAGGGTGACACATTGAGGGGATTGCAACCAATAATACAAAAAAATCTGTGTGTAAATTGTTGATCTGTAAACTTTTGTCTAAACCACAATAAAATATTCAAAAAAAGAAGAAAAAAAAAGAGATTATTCTTCAGTTTCTTCCTTTTTATTTTTGTAACATCTTGTGTAAATTTGATATTAATATTAGGATTAACTCATATTAGGAATTTGGAAGCTTTCTTCATATTTCAGTGTTCTGGAAATGTTTAAATACCATTGATATTAGCTATGTTTGAAAGGCTTGATAGATTTCCCTATTATTCCATCTGGTAGAATTTCTCTGTTCTTTGTTGAAGAGGGGAGAATTATTTACAAAGTTTTATGTTTCCTCTAAGATAATTGGTCTGTTTAACATTTCTATGTAATTTAGGGATAAGTTTTGGTAAATTATAACTTCAAATATCTGCTTAAAATTTTATCTTCATTTTTCTTTTTGTTACTAGTTTATTGTTTCAGGGTCCTTGTCAATTGCAGCAGGAAATAGAACTACACGAGGTCTGGTGAGTAATATTTCATCTTTCTTTTTTATACCAAAAGATGAAGGATTAATGAGTCATGATGGCTCCATGTTTTGATTGTTTTTAAATAAGCAGGAAAGATTGTGAGCTTTAACTGGTTGGGCTGGTATTTCAAAATTGCTAATCAGTAAATTGGCCCATGATAGAATTTCTGACATGGGGCTGACTTTTGGTGAGGTAGTTGTTAAGAGAATCTTTTTGAAGATACAGAGGATTCCTTAGGGGAAATGTGAAATAGGAACAGTCAAAAGATCTCTGCAACTTGAGGTCCAGCCCTTGACTAGGGGACTGATTGTTGGTGTGACATAGTATTTATTAACTGAATGATTAAAATCTATAATAAAATTGAATCCTAAAAGGGTTTTGATTCAGATTATGATAAAATAAAACTCATACTAAGTCTATCAAGAAGAAATTTTAAATCATAACTTCTATACCAAACTGTCTTTCACAAAGCCAATAAAAGGAAAAGCCCAGATTTCATCAAATATTTTTCCTGCCAAAAGACCATATTTGAATATTCCTTGCTCAAAGGATAAATACTAAACTGTGGAGCATGTTAAAGATGGTTCTTCCAAACCTCCCTCCCTAGCTTCTCGAACAGTGATAGCCACTAAAATGTGCCTACTGCTCCACTCAACACCCAACCTCTTACTCTTTCCTGAGCAATTTGAGTTTTTATAGAAGGCTCCCATACCTTTTCCCCTGAGTAGAGGATGTATGGCAAGGAATACCCAGGAGAGGGAAATAATATGCGGAAGGCATAGAGGCATGAAAGGCAAGCAGCATTTACAGAATGATAAGCAATCATATACCAGAAATATGACATGGTAGGAGATGGACACAGTGTATGTCCAACTAAAGTATAAAGGGCATTGTAAGCCCCTCTAATGAGATTCCTAGAGGAGTCATCTGAAAGATACAAGTTTGGGAATGACAAGATCATATTTGTGTTCTGGCAAGATATTAAATCCCTGGGAGGTACAAATGGTTTGCACTTCACTACTAGCCTAAAGATGGACATTCCAACCCACCCAGTGGTGCCACAGAAGAAAGACCTGGCAATCTGCTTCTGTAAAGATTACAACTAGAAAACCCCCATGAAGTCTTCTTAAAACCAAACGATAGTTTAGCTTAACTAGTAAAAAATCATTGTCTTGAGCATTATGCTTTTTTAAAAACTGTCTCTATGGGATCAAAGTGACAACAGCAACTTCAAAGATTAGATAGAAACCTTAGAGGGCAGTGAGTTTATGTTAATGGGTGAGGAATAACTCAGAAAAGGAGGGTGAGAATGATTGCATGACTTCATAAATGTAATCAATGTCACTGAATTACACATACAGAAACTGCTGAATTAGTCTATATTGTGCTGTGTATATTCTCAACAACAACAAAAACAAAAAACCCTGTGGAGCAGTTCTACTCTGTAACACATAGGGTTGTCATGCTTCAGAATCAACTGTATGGTAATGGGTTAGGGTTTTTTTTTTTTTAAATAATGAAAGAGACAAATTAGGAGACTACTGTTGGAGAGATAACTCTGTTGGGGAAGAAGCAAGGGGTGTGAAGGATGGAGGCGTATCTGAGGATGTCACTGGACTGTTTTCATTCCTTTCTAGGTGCAAGGTAGCCTAGGATTGAATATCACCAGCTCAGTCGTGGCTGCCATAGGCATCATACTCACTGCGTTGAGCCTGACTATTTTTTCATCCAGCCACCCTTATTGTGACTCTAATCGGATGCCAGAAAACTGTGCCATGATCTGGTCCATGTTAATGGTGAGTTCTTCCTCTTTTAATGAAGTACTGTAATGGAAACAGGTCACAGGAGCCCTGGTTCTAGCAGAAGTAACAATCAGCATTCTTTACTTGCTTGATCACTATGGGAACTTTGAGAAATAGGGCAATGTGTTATTTAGGAGTTAGGGCTACATCTCACATCCCTCCTTGTTTATGCTCTATATGTGATCAGGCAAAGTGGGAAAAGAAAGCTCATATTTATTGAACACCTACTTTCTAACAGTTATTGTGCTGGGCCCTTAGCATAATTTTCTTGTTTAGTTTCACAGTTCTGATCAGTATGTACTATTACCCCTCCAGAAATGGAGCTCAGACGTCTGTCCTTATACATCTCCAGAGCTTCTTGATTGAACTTCTGATGGGGTTACCTGATTCTCTAAATGAAGTAAAATTGTCTTGAACATTATGCTATAAGGGCCCCTCCCAACATCTCCAGATGTTCTTGCATGACTCTTCGTTTCTGTCCCCAACATCCTGCTCCTGGGAAAGTCCCAATCTTCATTCTGTATTTTACAACTTTTCTGTCCCACTTGTCCCCATATGGATACTATCCTAAAACTTTATTCTCCAAATTACCACTGTTATGGATTGAATTTTGTCCCTCCAGAAGACTTTGAAGTCCTAACTCCTGTACCTGTGAGTATGACCCTGTTTTTCTTTGTTAGGTTAATCAAGACATTCCAGAGTAGGGTGGTTCTTAAACCTAATCCCATCCAGTGGTCTCTTATACAAGGGAAAACAGAGAGACACACACATAGGGGGAAGGCAAATTCCATGTGAAGATTCATCTGTAAGCCAACGAATGCCAAGGAATACCTGGAGTTACCAACAGGGAAGGAAGTTCCCCTAGAGTGAATACTCTGATTTGGAATTCTAACCTCCAAAACTGCGAGACAATGAATCATTGTTCTTTATGGTACTTTTTGTTATGGCAGCACTAGCAAACTAAGACAACCACTTATAAAAGATAGTGCAGATAGTAAAACTTCTTGAAGTTTTGGATTATGGGGTAAGTGTGCACGGGGTGGGTGGATATTGCAGCCCAGGATAACAAAGTAAAATGTTTAACATTAACTATTTGCTACTTCAAATTATCTTGGCCAGTCTCAACGCCATTGAGTTTTCTGTAATCATTGCTCCATATAAACATCTAGCATTCTATTATGCTGCTTAGTTCTTCCTCTCTTATTGTCTTCATTGTATCTTATGTGGACCTCAGCATTGTTCCTAATTTATTATGCAGACCAATTGCAGAGCCGATGTCTCCAGGGCTATATATTCATACCAAAATAACCCCTTGAGGTAACTTTGCTGAAAGAATCTACTCCCCTTTTTTATTTCTGACATTTCTTATAGTAAACAATTTTATTTCTTGCCACTCATTCAAAATAAGAAAAGTGAGCTTCTTTAGAGAACTTAACACATTTTTCTAAGGTGACACAGAAATTGGCAGAAGCAGGATTTGATTCTGCAACTTCTTGTTTCTTATCCCCCTATATCATTTACTATTGTTCCATGTTGTTATACTGAAGAAGAATTTTTGAATTTTATGCTCAGTTTCTGAAGTTTCCCATGTTAAAGGACTTTAAGGGTACAATGATAGGGACCAAATCTGTACTAGACTGGCTTAATGGGCATAGCTTCCTTGGTGTCTACACAGGGCCCTGCCCACAGAAAGGCCAGTGATTGGTTTAATGCTCTGCTGTTGCTAACTTGAAATTTGTAATAATTTTTGAACAAGAAGCCCCACATTTTCATTTTTCACTTGGCCCTAGAAGCTATGTAGCTTGTCCTGCCTTCATCTCAATCACCTTCTTCCAAAAGCCATCATGAATTCTCATTAATTGTGTGAAGATTTTTTTCCTGTCCATCCTTACACCAGAAGGCATCCATAAGGTCTGCCTGGAATCTGAAGCAGCAGGTATCTTCTTACCTGGGCATCTGCACTTTCAGCCCACAAGTCTGTGAGACCGTATTTTGTGCTCAATCCAAGAACCAGCACTCTGGGAGACATAGGAAGGTAACCATGTTCTTGCCTTCAGGGAACTCTAGTCTAGTCCTCCGGAGAGGAAAATATCATCATCACCATAATTATCATTCATCGTCATCTTCATCCCAGCAGTTAGTTTTCCAAAGGGTCAGAGGATTTACTTTGAAATATAATTGTCAAAAGAGGTTAGAAGATGGCGAGATCTTTGTAGATAAATATTTAGATAGCACATTACCTGGTTTCATTGGGTAGAAGTACATGAAACTTGCCAGTGATCAAGTATACTTGACCTAGAAAAACAGCAATTCCATGTGGCTCAAACTAATACATTTTTATTTGCTACTTTTTGTTGAAAATGCAGCCTGGCACTGGTTTTTGTAAACAAAGTTTTGTTAAAATACAGCCTCATTCATTTGTTAACATGTTGTGTCAGGCTGCTTTTGCACTATAAGGGGAGAGTTGAGCAATTGCAACAGAGACCTTATAGCCTGCAAAGCTTTAAGTATTTACTATCTGGCCCCTTACAGAAAAAGTTTGCCAACCTCTGTTCTACCCCTCTAGATGGTACGATCCTTGAAGACAAGGAAATTGTCTGTTTTTTCATTTGCTCCAGTACCTTCGGTACCTACAACAATGCTCAAAATACAAAAGTTACTGAATAAATATTTGTTCGAGGGATGAGTGAATAGATAATGAAGTAATTAACACAAACACTCTTAGGTCCACTTGATTCTGTATTATATCCTGAGCCCCTCATCCTTGGATTCCTCCAGACCAGAGGGACTATCTCTGTGCAAGGAGAGAAAGGAGAAAATGATTAGACCAAAAAATCCCAGGCAATATTTTAGGATAAGATTATTAGGAATAAGAGTACTTCCCAATGTCCCTCAAATCTGAGTACGTGTTTTGGCTAAAGATTGGATCTAAAGCCAGTTCTCCTAGAGTATGGATTAGAGACAGATTCATTTGGTGTTCATTACTACATTGTTGTTGTGTGCCATCAAGTTGATTTCAACTCATAGTGACCCTGTAGGGCAGAGTAGAACTGCCAAATAGGGTTTCCAAGGAGCAGCTAGTGGATTTGAACTACCACTTTTGGTTAGCAGCTGAGCTGTTAACCACTATGCAACCAAGGCTCTATTACTACATTAGTTTCTAATTACTTCTGCAATAAATTACCACAGACTTAGTTAATTAAAACAAAACAAATTTATTACCTTTTGTTTCTGGGAGTTGAAGGCTGAAATGGATCTTACTGGGCTAACATCAAGATTTTAGCAGGGCTATGTTGTCTCCAGAAGCTCTAGGGGAGAATCTGGTTACTTGTCTTTTCCATCTTCTAGAGGCTACCTGCATTCCTTGACTCATGGACCCTTACTCTATCTTCAAAGCAAGCAGCGCAGTATCTTCAAATTGTTCTCTGATTTCTTCCTCTTACTTCTACTTACAAGAATGCTTATAAATTAAATTTGACCCATGGGGATAATTCAGGATAATCTCCCCATCTCAAAGCAGCTGATTAGCAGCCTTTGCCATGTAATTTAACATATTCACAGATTCTGGGGATTAAGACCTGGACCTCTTTGGGGGGAACATTTTCAACCAACAATGACTAAGCTATGAGATCATATCATAATGCCCACCTTATGGAATTTCTAGTGTTTGAAAGGACTAAGATGACAATGATCTTTATGATCTGTTTCTCCTTTTTTAAAGTGCTTTCACAGTCTGTGCTAACAATAGCACTGGAATGTAGAGGACAGGGGATTAAAAAAAAAAAAGCGTGACTATTTTATCAGTGAGAAAAGTGAGAAAATATGTGGCTTTTACCAGGCCAAAAATTGGCCAAAGTTCTGGCTGCAATGGAAGCCAGTGTTTCTGAGCCCTGGCCAGTCCTTTTTCTCTTTTGGCCTTGTAATCAGTGATTAGTGTTTGGAATTTGTCATCTCCATCCTCATATTCCTTTCTTATGGATTTGTTCCTAGGGTATGGATGGTATCGTGCTCATTTTAAGTGTGCTGGAGTTCTGCATTGCTGTCTCTCTCTCTGCCTTTGGATGCAAAGTAACCTGTTGTAACGCTAGTGGGGTGAGTACTGAGTTTCACTTAAAGATGTCCGTATTAGTTTTCTATTGTTGTGGAAGAAAATGCCACAGACTTAGAGACTGAAACAACATACATTTATTATCTCCCAGTTTCCATGGGTCAAGAGTTTGGGCACGGCTTATCTGGGTCCTTTGCTCAGGGTCTTAAAGCCTGCAATCAAGGAGTCAGCTGGAGCTGTGGTCTCATGTGAGGTTGATGATCCTCTTCCATGCTCCCATGGTGGATTAATTTCCTTTCAACTGTAGAACTCATGGCTACCACATCTCAGAGGGCAGCAGGAGAGCAAAAGTCTCTTCTGCTTTGAAGGTCTTTTAAATGACTTACTTGAGTAGGTCAGGTCCACCTAGGAGAATGTCCCTTTTGATAACTGCAAAGCCCACTGATGAGTAACCTAATCATGGAAGTGATATCGTCATATTCACAGATCCGACCCACACTCGAAGGGGTGTCATGAAAGGCTGTGGATAATTGACAGGTCATCTTAGAATTCTGTCTACCACAATGGTTAAAGAAAACCTATTTTTTCACCACCTTTACCCTTCAAAGGGCCTCCCTTCTGTGTACAGTTTTGAGAAGACTTCACAATAGAGGGAGTCCTGGTAGCACAGTGGTTAAGAGCTACGGCTGCTAACAAGAAGGCTGGCAGTTTGAAAATGCCAGCCACTCCTTGGAAACCATATGGGGCAGTTCTCCTCTGTCCTATAGGGTCTCTATGAGTCAGAATCGACTCTGTGGCAATGGGTTTGGTTTATTTTAGGTTCACTATAGAGAGGACTGCAAGGTGTGCAAGAAATTACTCCATTGTCCTATTATGGCAACATTTTCTGGGCTACTGGGGAAATGTGTAAGCTTTAAACTTCTCTATCCGTTTTCACCCACAACTCATTCTCTTACCCTGAGACCACCAGCTGATCCTCCTGCTGTTAAGCAGAAAGAATGTCACCCAGAGAGGGTATTGGGAAATGAAAGGAGAGAAGGTACTCTAGGAAATATAGTTGTTGTTGTTGCTGTTAGCAAGTTGGTTCCAACTCTTGGAAGCACTGTAGATTGCAAAGTAGATCTGCTCCATAGGTTTTTCTTGGGTATAATCTTAACAGAAGCAGATTACTAAAATTTTTCTTCCAGAATACTGCTAGGTGGGTTCAAACTGTTCAATTTTAGGTTGGCAGTGGAGCGCAAACCATTTCCACCATCTGCAGACCTTCCTAGGAAGAACAGAGTGGGATATCTCCTAAGATGTGAGATTCCAGGGTGAGGAATGAGATATTAAAACCCCAACAGCTACTCATTAACTGTAGTTATCCAGAGGCCCAGGAGAAGATGAAACTCTAGCTAAATCATAAAATAATAGTTTGATGACATAGCGTTTCTGGTGCTCTTTGTCTTTTTGTCCCTCTTTCCCTTCTTTTGGGTTCCCATGTTGTACCACACCACCCACCCCTACAGTTCTTTCCCACAGAAAAGAGAGGTACTAAATCACAGTAACTGTAGTACTAGGTTTTTGCACTATAAGACCCTAGAAGTGAGAGTTTCTCAGCAATTCCCAATGATTTTATTATTTTTATTTTCATTGAGTGAGACATTTGGGCATGACATCAAACTCCTTAGTAATCTTCTAATGACAGCATTTATCCCTGTGGTCCATTCTGCTCCTAGAGTAGCTACAGAGTGGTATTCTTGCTTCCACTAATCTCCCACTGTGAACCCAGGAGGAAAACAGTGGCTTGGAGGCTCATAATGTCTAACTGTCTCTCCTCCTGCCACCTCTCGCAGTTCACACTGAGTTTGTGGAAGGCAGTCCAGAACCTTCCTTAGTTTCCTGTCATCACTCTGGCCCAGTGTGGTTTTTGTAATAATTTAATCATGGCTAGCAAATCACAGTTTGGTTATGATGTTGTCATCAGCATGCAGCTTCTTTTATGATTACACCTAAGAAAACCCTATGGAGCAGTTCTACGCCGTAACACATGTGGCTTCCAAGAGTCAAAATCAACTGGAAGGCAAGTGACAATAACAGCAACAACAATAACTATTTTTCCTGCAGTCTCTTCTCTCATTTCCCAATACCCTCTCTCTGGGTGACATTCTCTCTGGTATGGAAGAAGAACTCTAAATTTACCTTAACACTTTCGTCTACCCGACTTTTGGGCACCATAAGCCAAACATAAGATTGATCCACTTGCAGAACCACAGAAACAACCATTAGGGTCTCATGCCAAGAACCATCACTGAATGTTTGTCCTAGGGATCACTAGGGTCACTATGAGTCCTAATAGACTCTATGGCAAGGGGTTTTAAGGGCTAGCTTGACATAAAAGATGCATGAGAAACTCAACCAGATCTATCTTGAGACCGAATTTAGAGAAGAAACAGTAGACTCTGATAATGATGACATTGTGTGGTCAGGAAAGGGAAACCCTGAAGTTGGTATCTGGGTGTCTCACTTACGATGTTGTGATTAATTTCACAGATTGTGTTCATCATGCCCTCAAATGCTTATGTGGCAGAAACAGCACCTACGGCAACATTGTCAGGAGATTCACTGCCTCCAACAGAACAGTAGAAATATCTTCCAGAAAATCTATCCTGACAGTAATGCAATAACCCCACTTGAGAAAGTACCAAAATCCAACTCTGATTTTTAAAAATTATGTATAATAAATTCAGAATAATATTTTCATTTCCAAAAGAAATTGATGACTTCTTTCATTGTCTCTTTATCAGAATAGAAGTTAAATAAATATATTATGCATTTAATGAGTCAACAGCAGTTGAAAGTTTTCCATCCATCCTTAGGAGTATGTAAGAAGCATCAAGTTGGCAAATAAGATTTGCAGCAGAAGGGCAAAAAGATATTGCTGAAATGGGACCCCAAGCATTACATATTTCTGCTTCTCTTGATAATGTTATCCCTACTTGTTAGAATATTTTTCCCCATATTTGACGGATACAAAGTGTTTTTGTCTTCAGAAAGCTGAGATGTATGACTTTTTTTCCCTTTTCCTTCTTTTTTCTATCATTCTCCCATGCAAGTACTCAGAATAGCACAATCAGTCCTTATACGTGCATAAGACATAATTGGGTATAAGGACACGTTACATCATGGATCGGATTCACTCTGTATTTTCTCTCTCCTCTGCTCCCCTCCCCTCCCTTCCCATGTCCTCTTCTGCCCTCCCCTCTCCTCCCCTCTCCTCCCCCTCTTCCCCTCTCCTTCCTTCCCTTCCCACATCTGCTGTTGTCTCCTCTCCTCCCCTCATTCTTCCCCTTCCCATCACTCCTCTCCCCTCTCTGTATTCCTTCCCCTTGGTCTCCACTGTCTTTTTCCCTCTCCCCCTTCCCCTTCTCCTCCTCCTACTCTTTCTTCTTCTCTCTCTCTCCCTTTCTTTCTGCCCTACAGGGAAGGATTGTACCTTACTCAAGGTTGTATCCCCAGTGCCATGTATTCAATTGTGTCATACATGGTATTTACTCAATGGTCATTAAATACATTTTACATAGTTTTACTAGAGAACAAACAAATAAAATTAGCAGCAATAAGTTTATATTCTGCCTGCTTCCCATTCAGATGCAATATGGTGGAAAGAGATTAAATCAGGAAATCTACCATGGTATTAAAGAATTGGCTCTCTAAATATAGAACTCTGGGATTTTATTGTCACAATTCCATTCCTCTTACTTGCTACCTGTGTGCTCGTGGAGATTGCACAAAATCTCTCTGTATTTCAGATTTTGCTTCTGTAAAATAGTAATATTACCTGGCCTATAAATTTTTGATAATTACTTGATATAATATAGGTAGAGCAACTAGTATTGTGACTGCCATGCATTGAATTACGAAAGT